GCTCAATTAGCTGGTCACTCTATCCCTGCTTGGCCAGGCAGCTAAGCCCGAACATCTGGCCCCTGGGCCCGTGGCCAGGCTGGTCGCCAGCCCCCACTACTGCTGGCTCTGACCCCGGACACCTCCCACGGGACAGCTGAGCCCGGCCGGCCGTGCCCGCCAGCTCGCAACAAGCTGAGAACAGTAGCCGCGCAGGCCCCGCGAGCCGTGGGCAGATGCAGAGAAAACACCCAGGAGCAGAGGGCGCGCCCCTAACCGGAGACCCAGAGCCACGGCGGGCGACCTGACCTCCCCATAGGAAAGCCTGAAGAGCCCTGGCTGGTGTGGCTCAGTGGATAGAGCATCAGCCTGAGGACGGAAGGTTCCCAGGTTCGATTCCGGTCAAGGGCCCAGGCCCAGGTTGCGGACTCGATCCCCAGTGTGGGGCGTGCAGGAGGCAGCCGATCCATGATTCTCTCATCATTGATGTTTCTCTCTCTCTCTCTCCCTCCCTCTCTGAAATAAGAAAACCCTGAAGAATCAGGTTGGACCCGAGGCCCGTGTCACTGACAGTTGAGCTAAGACGTGGGCTCAGAGCTCTGCACCGTGTTCTCCCAGCTCCCTGCACCCAAGGGCAACCCGGGGGCCAGGGCCTCCCAGACCCACTGGGTCAGGCTCTGCCTGTGAACAACGTCAGTGGGCAGTTCGCAGCGGCTGCTGACCTCACTCGCGTGTCTGTGCACCGGGCTGCACCCCGTGAGCTGCCGGCAAAGAGAGTGTCTACAGGGGCCCCGCCCTCCGGTTCCCCCCAAACCCTCCCCCGCAAGCAGGGGCCTCTGCGGGTTTGGCGCTCGCCTGACGTTCTGGCTTCTGATTTTGTGTTTTGTATGAAGCCTGGGCCCTGGGTGCGCTGGTGGCCGGGTTCCTGGCCTCCCGGCCTCTGGCAGGTGCCCGGTCCGCGATCCCCCGCGCCCTTGAGGATCTGCCAGCGACAGCTGCGCTCAACACGCTGTATTTATGTACATACGGAGAGAGACAGACGGAGAGAGACGGAGGAGACGGGGTGGAGACAGAGAGGGGAGAAGGGAAACACTTAGAGGTGAAGATGCTACATTTTATGTTATGTTTTTTATCACAACAAAAATTTCTAAACTTAGCTTTTGGAAAAAATGAAATTCTATATGAAATGCCTTCGACTAGAGAAAGAAATACAAAGTAATTATCTTGAATTTTTTTTACGTCAGCCTTCCATATAAGTATATAAAATTTCCTGCAAAATGACCACAAGCCAATGGGGAAGAATTATACAGTGAAAAATAAATGTTTGCCTTTCACCTTTTAAAAAATATATATATTTGTATTGATTTCAGAGAGGAAGGGAGAGAGAGAGTGAGAGAGAAACATTGATGTGAGAGAAACCCATCAATTGTTTCTCTCTAGAGATTGAACCTGAAATCCAGGTATGTGCCCTTAATCGGGAATCCAACCCACAACCCTTTCATGCACAGGCCGATGCTCCGATGCTGTAACTGTTAACCCACACCAGCCCGGGCCTACAATTCAGTGTTTTGTTTTGTTGTTTTTTTAAACCCTTGACCAGAATCAAACCTGGGACCCTTCAGTCCTCAGGCTGACGCTCTATCCACCGAGCCAAACCGGCCAGGGCCAATTCAGTGGTTTTTAATATCTTCTGAGAATTGTGCAACATTCATCACAATTTAATTTTATAACTTCTCCACCCCATCACCATCCCTATCACCACCCCCAAAGAGAAAACCTGTACCCATTAGCCATCACTCCCCCATCTCCCCTTCCCTCCTCCATTTCCCCCCTCCCCCCCGCCTCAGTCACTAATCTCTCCCTATGGATTTGCCTATTCTGGACCTTTCATATACATAAGTGGGATCCTGCAACAGATTGTCTCTTGTGACTGGCTTCTTCCATTTCGAGGTTCATCCGTGCTGCAGTGCATGGCAGGGCTTCCTTTTCATGGGGGAGTACTGTCCCATTGCTCGGGGGGACCCCACTTTGTGTACCCACCCATTTATCGATGGGCATTTTGGTTGTGTCCAGTGTTCGGCTACTGTGAATAATGAGAACATTCACGTGGATGTACGTTTTCATTTCTGGTGGGCAGGCGCCCAGGAGCGGAATTGCTGGGCCACATGGGAACTCTGTCCCGCGTGTAGAGGAAGTGACACTGTCTTCCCCAGCGGCTGCCCCGTTTCCCACTCCACCAGCTTGTTCACGTCCTCGCCAACATGCACCATCATCTGCCTTTCTCCCCCCAGAGCTTTAAAAACAATTTCCCCATCACCATTTATGCCCTCTACGCCCTCTTCCGCCTCCACACATACCCCCCCGCCCCCACCGTACTCCATGGTTGGCCTTTTGGTGATGACCCTTCAGTAGATCTGAAGGCTTCGCAGCCCCATTTTCTGTCTTCATTTAGGTGCCCCCGCCCCAGTCTCCTCCAAGGGAGGTGTGACCACCTCACCAGCACACAGACACATGCTTACACGACTCTCACACACGTGTGCCCACACACACTCTGCAGTTACACTCACACTCCCTTCCATCCACATGTTCACACTCACTCTCACATTCTCACACACAAATGCACACGCTCACTCACACTCATAGTCTCACATTCACACCCTCACACTGTCACATTCTCATATGCACACATGCACGCTCACTCACACTTACACACTCACCCTCTCATACTCTCACACACAAATGTACACGCTCACTCACACTCATACTCCCACATTCACACCCTCACAGTCACATTCTCACATGAATGCTCACTCACACACCCTCTCATACACATACTCTCACACACAAATGCACACTCATGCTCATACCCTCACTTCCACACTCACCGCAGACTCACACTGTCACACAAACACGCGAACACACTTGTGGTAACACACTTACACTCGTGCTCACACTCCCACCCCCGCCCCCCACCCCCACACAGGGCCCCTTCACCTGCTGATGGCAACAGGACATCCCTGCCATTGAAGAGCTAAGGCCA